TTTTATTTAGGAACGAAATTGTCAACAGTGGTACTGGTTGCAGTTTAGCTGCATCAGCATGGCACAATCACTGTCCCGTATAACAGTCCTACTATCTTCCACACTGCGGCACAGCCTACGAGAATTTGAGTGTGAAGTTTACGAAGTGATTTAATTGCCCTCCTGTAAGTCTTCGAAGGTGAAAAGCTGTCTTAATCCCTCATGCAAAACCATTGTAAATTACAGTATTGGGTTAAGCCGATGCGAGACAAGCGATCGTTGAAGTGATTCCTCAAGCGAATGACAGGGTATCGACTCCAACTAATGGACCACTCTGACACAGTGACACAAATCTCTGTTCATTTGCTGTGCCTTAAACAGCAAACTGCTGGTACATCGTCACTGTGTATTTTTCAGCGGACTACCTTGGTCTCACTTCAGAGAGCGTCAAATGGCACACGAACTTCAAGCACATGAAGTCAACAGCTCAGCTGTTTCCAGAAACAATGCGTTGTAAAAAGGACTGATTCAGCCTACAACTTGAATGCACGAAATTTCTGATTACAATACACGACCACTCGGAACATTGTCGAGGTCACTGTGATAGAGCTAGATGATGCATCACATACTGGTAGGATCTCCGATCAAAGTACCACCTGTTTATTTGAGTGTGCAGTCAGAGTCCGGAAAAACAGGACTGGTGACAGAGAAGTACTTGTGCCTAACCCAAAGTTTGTGTACGTCGGTTACTGAACAACAAGGTTCACTGAGGTGTTTCTGTTACAGAGGGAGGTGGAATCAGTCAAAACTTCGGCTGCTGCGTTGAAGGGCTAAAACAAGAGCTTACTCATTGTGTTTCGCCGGCTACAATATTAGTGTCCTCTGTTGACTAAGCCGGAATAGCCAGGTGTTTCCATCAGTCAAACGAATAGAAAGACACCTTTCGAAGTACATTGCCACTGCCGGGTGAAGAGAGGGCGTTCTTGTTGTGGCAATCATCTAAGCTGGAACAAAGCAGCTGTTGTTCATCGGAGTTAATTGCATTCTGGGGAGGACTTCAAGGAATACCGATCGCATTATCTTTCCGAAGTGACCATTCACTAGTCAGTCCAAAAGTCCAGTATGGTACAGCACACGATAATCACCCAACTCACCAATGAACAGCCTCCCCAGTACTGTGGTTCTACTTCTGCATCGTACTCAGTATCATCTATTCGCCATCTTCCACTCTCACATCGGTTACAGCTGGCATAGTTAGATGTGCCTTCAATGTTAGCAGCAGAGGTAATAACCGGTATTCGTAATTCAGAGGCGCTGTAAGAAATCGGATTTACTAGTGCTCACTGTCGTGGATGGGCTGAGACTGCACGATAACTGGATCGACGAGCTGCAGCGCTAGAGGGACGGATGCGATTTACATGCGAAAATTCAGAACCCAGCTTGAACTCATCTATCCCGGTCAAATAGTTCCGAGGTTTCAGAAAACTTAACAACTGACATCACATAGTTGTGGAATTCAAAGCGAATGAAATAGTTCATGCTCCCTCAGAACACTGCATACCGACTACCATTTTGGAGTTTTCTTTTTTAGTAAATTTCAGACCACACTTCTCTGTTACATGTTCTGGGACATCCAAATGTCAACGAATAACTTACTTATTCGGGGATACATGCGCCCAGTTGAAAGCATTAGTACACGAAGTACAGCTTTGTTCATGACTTTGACCTTGATATCCCTGGTTTTATAAGCAGACGGGGTGCGTCCGCGTTCAATGATTCTTCTAATATTGAAATGTTACTCATGAAGGATATATCCGGAAAATGTTAGCTCATTCTTGAGCCCAAAAGCTTCGGGTAAAATGGTGGCTAGACCTTCATCTGTTCCATTAGAATCTTTTATTAAAGGCCATGGCCTAAGATCTGAAGGATGACTTAATCCGTGATTAAGTAACGTTCATCCAGCCTTTACGGAGCCTCTGGTTGTGCATTAAGTCAAAACCTACACTTTTCAACTTGAAAAATTTCAGTCTATTCTCTTAGGGAAACTATCTGGATCATCTATTTAGCTCGTAATTGAATCCTTGCAATGGTGAGATTTGTGGGTTCGCATAATCGTACCCAATTCCACATGGCTTAGGTGAACGTCGGAGATAAATACGAATATTCGACGAACTTATTCGACGAGGCAGAGAAATTATTCACCATTTTATTAAAAGCTTGAAAAGCCTCCTGGTAAGACAAAGATTTCAACTGAACTCGCATAGACTTATGGGTTCATTCAATTACTGCCGCAACAAATTTTACGTTGCAAACTGTCGTTGGCACTCCATTCTTGCACACAGTGTCTAGTTAGAGATAAAGATCGTTTACGTACCGTAGCCTACACAGAGTTCAGCTGCTCCCGCTGCTTCCACTGCATCATGTGGTGATTGATAGTTTGACATGTACACTGCAACATCTAATATTGTGTTACTTCTGGAGTACGGGAAAACAAGCCGTCACTTCCTGAACCGTCAACGCTCTACGCATATTCCACTGGATTTCCTCCCGACGAATTTCCACTGACTGGACTGCATCTAGCCACCGCTGTCTTCACAAGCTTCTAGAAAATCCTACCTTTGGATAGGCTTAGTTTTCGTCTAACATTTACCGTTCCCTGCAAATATGTTACTCCGACCACATGCAAACTCGGTAGCCACTGACACCACACAATGAAGAGAAATTACAGTTAGTTTATCCGTCCTCGCTTGCT